CAGCTCACTGCATGTGCACACATGCAAATGAGTCTCCACCTCTGGGAGAAGTCCAAGAGACATACACCCCCCCTCCGACCACATAAAAAGGCAACCGGGTCGCAGACACGTAGGATGCTCCTCCACCCAGGACCTGGGTGGACCAACTGACCGAGAGGACTCTGATTAACCGACTAAGACGGGTGATCCTATCTCTTTGTCTTCTCTCTTTCTGTCTTTTCTCCTTCTATTCTCGATTTTTTATAAGTGTAAGAACTTGCCTAGTCTTTCTGTTCCTTCCGCCACAGTTTTACAGAACTTTTGTAATAAAGTTAATTATTCTTTTTCTACCTCTGGAGAGCCTGTGGTTTCTCCCAGGAACTGCAGAGAGTATTGTAAAAGATCACCTCTCCCCACCCTCGCCGAGCAGGACAGGACACCAAGAAGCAACTAACACAGTCATTTATTAGCCTACAATAATTATGTCCGTAGCTATTGTGTGACATTAACGAGACAAGATTGTTTTACAGAACGCACAGAGCTCAAATATTGTGTGGCTCTGTTCTAACAGATCTAGGAAGTCCCATTTTTTATGACTCTTATCTGGTATAAAATTTGTTTGAAACAGTTTGCACAGATCACTTAAGTCTTTGCCATTTGTGAGCACTCAAGGAAAAGGCTGAACAGGCTTTAACACCTCATACATCAGAGGTATGAGGTACCAGGTTGGAGCAACCCTTCTGTCTGCATCATGCTATTAAGCTTCAATACACAAATAGAAGCTCAATCCTTACAAATTTCATTTTTTGCATGATACACCACACATAGCCCTGACCTGAATGTAACCACGTTAAAAATTTATACAGATTCTATATACACATAAACTTCAAAAATAATATTCAAAAATAAAAAGGTAACTTAAAGGATTTGTAAAATTTACAAACCTGCGCAAAAATCTTTACTAGCCTTGAGTTGTGTGTAGGCCTAATCTGTAGGTATTCTCTCCACCATTGTTTAGCATATACAAGAAATAAGCGTTCTTTTTCTGCTGTTTTCTGACGTTCCAAAGCAAACTGCAGGTAAGAAAAACATAACCAATCACATACATATTAATTCCAAACGGGAAAAAAAAAAAACATAACAGAAACCAAAACCATAATCAATAAGTACATTACCACCAAATCCTGGCATATGTAAAATAAAGCTTAATATTTCAAGCATGCCATGCAAATGCTGAAGAACAGTATTTTTAAATTAAAATCCAATGAACAAAAATATCAAGTTACATTTCTTGTTTGTAGGCTCATATATCAAGCTTGACTGACGTAGTGTTCATCTTAAGTGATGCATTTCTGTACAGAAGGATTGTTCAGCCTTCGATATGCAGAAGAATAGCTGCATGCACCTCCACACCAACATTTACTGGCTTTCCAGGCAGAATAGCTGACTTGAAATTATTGTTTCAAACGGGAAAGAGCAAGAAAACATATACGGCCCAAACAAAATTAGGTATATTGCATCTTTCTAATTTTTCTTCTTGAAGTTTTGATACAAGTAATTAGAAAAACTACTAAAGTAATATTTCAAATAAGGTAATGTTCAGTGTAAACAAAGTAGTTTAAAACCCCCATAATTATATTTAAATTTAAAGGGGAAAAAAAAAAAAAAAAGAGGGATCAAATATTCAAAAACCTGCAGCCCTCAACATTTACAAGTAATTCTATACTGAGCTTCCTCCCGCCCAACAAAAGAATAAGTCAGTCCTCCCAGAAATCACTTACCTGAGTATTAGTTATTTCTGGAGACAGCATCTTCTTAAGCTGTGGATACATTTCCAGTCTGATATTTAAAACACCAACAGAAACCTTTGATTCTGTACCTTTGAACCAAAATAAATTTTGATCAGTTCTCTCAAACTCAATTTACTTAGGACGTTTCAGCCAGGCAGGAGCAAATAATTAAAATGCTAGCTATATAATCACAAAAAATAACTAAGCTGCTTTAAATATATGCAAAATAAGTATCTTTATTTGAATTTCAAACTCAAATGAGGCTGTAAGAAAGCATAATCTAGCCAAAAAAGCAGACATCTGGATCTGAGAGAATTATCCAAAGCCCTCTTTGCAGCCAGTACCAGGACATATGAGATGAATGGCATTCTGGAAACGTCTAGAATAGGCATCTAAAATCAAGTAGGAGAGTCACGCGCTCTAAAAGTGCCTATTCCTACTGATTACATAGGTAGCTCAAATTTAAGTAGTTAGAAAGAGGTGAAGTTCATCTTCCGCAAGATACAGTTTATTATGAAGGACCCAGAGTGCCATACAAATAGATTAATCAACTTAACAAAAAACCAACAGTCAAGCAAACCACAAAACCCCACAAACCTAATGCTGTTGTGTAATGCTGAAATGGATTTACTGGACTGATACTTAATTACTCGGAAAAAAAGCTAACAACAATTAGATTTAGCTCCTCCCTAATTTGAGTATTAAACTCGACTTACTGGTTATACATTTCCGAGTCATCACAAATAAAAAGCTCTCCACTTGAGAGACTACCCAAACCCATATTGCTTACTAAAGTTTTGGGAATATCAGCATTTTCAGAAGGAAAGGAAGCTAACAAACATACTAGCAAATAAGCTTACTAGATTTGTATTCGCTGGATAAAACACCGCACCAAATCATCCCCCATGAAAAAGCAGGCAATAGTGATAACAATCAGGAATAACTTACATAGTATATCCAATCTTCAGAATATTTTGAAGGTATAAATTTAATCTCTCTTGAAACTACCAAGAACTGCTCACCTACCTAACAGGTAGAGAAACTGCGATAAAGAATGACTCAGCAGCTACTACATGACCAAACTCTGGGATAGCTAGCATAGGAAGTCACGATAGATCGAGTCCTAGATCTAGACTTTATCCAGCAAATCATCATATCCTAAAAACTTAGGTTGGAACTCCTAAAAAGGGGAGTGGGGACAAGAGATACACAAAAATACACACGTATACTAACTGCTAAGCACCTAAACAAAGCTGTTCAACCCTTCAGGCAGAAAACATGCTTCCAGCTGCTGGAATAAGTGGCAGCGCAGCAGAGATCACTTTCTCTAGCAGCTGGCAGTTTGCTACGGAAGGGACACCAGCTAGATTTTACTCTTCGGCGCACTGGTCTTGTATATTCCTGGAGATGCTTTGGTTGACTTTTCTTTGGTTGGTTTGGTTTTGGTAACCTATCCAGACTTTGCAGAAAATAAATAGTGGGAGTTCCCAGATACGGGGGGCCATTATTACACAGGATCTGGAATACCAAAATACTAAAAATATGTAACAGAAAAATCTGACCATTAGTCTCCCAGTCATTTTCTAAGGATACCTTGTAGTAACTTATGAGTCGAACTAAAATTAAACTACATCATAAATACTGCTTTAAGCTTCTAAGCAAGCTCAGCACCCAGTATTTTAAGTCATCATTACAGCCTTATTATTTATCCTTACCTACACCCAGGAGTTCAACAGCAACATTTGTTACACCATTCTCTGCAGCCAAGACAGATCGCCACTCCAAGAAATAGGATGCTACTAGCGTTGTCTCACCAAATGTGTCTGTTCTGATCAGAACCATATGCACCGGATCACATATAGATAACATAGTGGTGGCATCCACCATTTTACTTCCATCACCTGCCATTATTAAACCAAGATAAGATAGCAAGAATATTATCATCCCAAGTCCTCATCAAAATTAAAAAAGTATGCATTTGCATTCATTGTATACATCGCATTTTAAGAAAAATCTCACGTCCAGAAGTGTAAGCAATGATCCTATCTTAAACATCAATTTCAGTTTAGGACAGAGCTACAGAAAGATTACAGTTAATTTACAGAGGAGATAAAAAGATTCCTATAGTTGAGCATGCCAATACAACTGGTTCAACTGCACAAAAATTAAAACATAATTAGCTTTTAAGAAAATACAGAACATTAAAGCTCTGTTAAGTAAAAGTAATTGAAAAACACTCTTTTAGTAAGTTAGAATGCGTCAGGTCAACTTACTGTCCATCAGTGTTTAGGAAACAACTTTCTCTGTAGTCAAGCTTGACCCTAGAACATCGAGTGCTCCATGAGCAGCAGAATTAACAAAATCTGGTTTTCTTTGAATTTGTGGTGTATTCAGTCCCCTCCTCAAGTCCAACTGCAATGACTCTGGCTTTCTCTCTGTTCCCTGATATTCCCCATAAACTACCCTGGATTTCTACAGGATTCAGACAACATCCAGAAGTCTTTTCCTAACATACTCAACTCCTACTACGTTCCTTGGCTACCAACAGAAGAATGGTAATACAGGTTGTGGATAACTGACTCTTCTGCAGGTGTCTGCTAACTGGTAGGCAAACTGAACTCGCACTGCATCTTTTCTCTCCATACGGTGACAAATTTACATTTCCCTTCTTCACTTGTCAGCACAAAGTTCATGAAAATCACAGACGCCTTAATACCTCTTACCATCTCCGAGACTATCATCTCACTGTCAATTATGGATAAACTTGGTCAAATTCAAAAGATATTTTAGAACAGAAAAGAAGGAAAAGAAAAGGCAAGAGTAGAGAAAGATCTCTAAGTGGCATAACCTAATACAGCAATCAGTTTCCTTAGGAAAACATGACAACAAGTAGGAAAGAAAGCCACTAAATAATATCGGACATATTTCAGAAGAACTCTGAAGTCAGGAAAAAAACCAATAGCATCAGCTTTAAACCCACAATACTCCTTACCTAGGCTATCCTTGTGTACTTCAAGTAAAAAACCATCATGAAAATCTGGCTCACAGGCACAGGGTACAGGTTTAGAACGGAAGCGCTGATTTCGAAAATGTAAACACAGGGTGAAGGTAGAACAGGTTTGGCCAGGCAGAGGCTCCGGTTCCTGAAGATGTTCCAGAAAAGCTTTTCCACCCAAAACCTGAAGGTAAAGATACCTCCGTGTTGGGTCAATGTTAGCTGTAAAGCGTAGCAATAAAAATGAAGAGACTACAAACAGATCTTAGGAAGCATATTAAATATTAGTTAGCTAACAAGAGACTAGAAAAAAACTTTTTGGAAACAAGTGCTTAGGAGAAAGTGATTTTAAAATGTATGGAAGTTATCTTAATGTAAAATAAATGACATTTTAAAAAAAAAAGTCACATTTTATGCAACACTAACTTCTGCTGCTTACATGAATTTACTTCCTGTGGACAAGCAGGAAAAACATCCACTTTTACGCCAGTTCATACTGGATTACTAATTCGGAGTTCAAGCATCATAGACTTCAAATTTATCTCAAAACTATGATCCAAATATAAAAATAAACAAGCAACATACTTTTTTTCAAAACTGGTGGTTCTCTGTCAACAAAATGCGTTGATGGTTTTGGAGCTGAAGTCCTCTCTTTTTCATTCACATCCTGGAATTATAATTAAGACTTTTTGAGGTGTCAAGGGATGCAACAGTGCTCTTTTTGCAGTCTTCTAAAAACTAAAGAATCCTCCACTTCAACTGAATGCCATTCCCCAGGTATGCTCCCTTCTAGTACTTGAGATGTACTGAATTTGAACAAATACTTTCAATGCAGTGTTATCATTAAATCAACTTTAGCATATAATTTAAGCTGTTCTCCTCCTATTATGTCACAAATCAGTAAAGCCATTACAAACTTTTAGAAGTAGCAAGTTTTCACTTTGTCAAAACACCAAGTCAGTAAGAGGAATGAGCAAAAGCACCTTCACTCTTCAAAAGCTACTTACAGTTACAAATTTAAGTTCCTTCATAACATCATCAATGATGCCTCGCTGTCTTAAGGCTTTTATCAGATCTTCTGTGGATAACTGCTGATGCTCAGGTGCTAACTCTTCACGTATAGTCTCAGCAAGAACTTCTCTTATCCTGCCATGGACATCCATCTGAAAGAAAATTCACTATGTGCTACAGATACAAGCTCTTTATATCATAGCAGCGACAAGTAAACAGTCACTCTATAGGACTAAAGGTATTCTCCTAGGAACACAGAAGTAACTACATGAAAACATGAATCCTTTCAGAACGAATTGAATTAGTCACTATCTCACCAAAGCAGCTCTACCAGTTAAAAAAAAAAATCATGAGCACACCAGACCTGAGCATTTTCAGTGCCCTTGACGGCACTCCCTGCCTTGAACTTCCCTCTCTACAAAAAAATCTGCAAATCCATCAATGATGAAATGGTCACTGTTTTAATTTCTTGTCTCCCTCAGAATTCAAACTTAGGATAATAGTTTCTTATTTTTTAAGGGAAAAAATCCACCTTTATATACTTGTAGGTACGGCACAAAAGTAGTACATTTCCATTGCAAGCTTCCCCTACGCTCCAATGGAAGTCAGAGAATTTCTGTCCTTCATCTCAGCTGTGAAACTGCATGGACTTGTGAAACTGTTTCTCCCACAGGAAGGATATTAAAGCCACAGCCACTGGGACTTGGAACGGCGATTTGAGAGTTAAAATATTCGTATCTATTTCCCCACCAGTTCAAGACCCAGCCCAAGAACATCGCTCAAAAAGCAGCAAGGCAAAGGCAAAACCCCCCCCACAACCCAAACCCAAACAAAAAGAAAGAAAGAAAGAAAGAAA